TTGCTCAGTTCAGACAATGGCTTTTTTGTCTATGTATAAGTTTTGTATGAGCACAATTAAGTTTTCTGGGACTCTTATTCTTTTCTACACTGGCCATAATTTGCCATGATGCAAACAGTAAAATGTCTTTTTGTACCAAGGAAACACAGACAGACATTCTTTTGGTACTCTCTACTTTCAGCCAGGATCCATCTGACATCAGCAATGATATTCTTATTACCACATCCTCTCCTAAATCCAGCTTGAATCTCTAACAATTCCTTCTATTCCAACCATTTTTGGATGATCTTCAGCAATATTTTGCTTGCGTACAATATTAATGATATTGTTTGATAATTTCCACATTCTGTTGGATCATCTTTCTTTGAAATATTAAAAAATATGTATCTCTTCCAATCAGTTGGCTAGGTAACTGTCTTTCAAATTTCCTGGCACAGGCTGGTGAGCACATCCAGGGCTGTATCTGTTAGTTGAAACAATTGCTATCCCATTGATTCCTAGGGCCTTATTTCTTTGCTAATGCCTTCAGTGCACCTTGAATTCTTTCTTCATTACCATTGGTTCTCTTTTATATGCTACTTCCTGAAATGTTTCAGTGTTGACCAATTATTTTTATATAGTGACCCTGTGTATTTGCTCCATCTTTGATGCTTTCTGGACCATTCAATATTTTGCCCATAACACCTCTCAGTATCGGAACTTGAAGCTTGAATTTGTTCTTCAGTTCTTTCATCTTGAGAAATATTGAAAGAGTTCTTCCGTTTTGATTCTCCAACTCCACTCCTTTGCACATTTTGTTATAATACTTTGATTTGCCTTTATAAGCTACCCTTTGAAATCTTCTTTTTATCTCTTTTATATAAGTCTTTGTTTTGACTGATTGACACTCTAGTAAAATTTTAAGAGTCTCTTATGACATCCATTTTGACCTTTTCTTTTTTCTCTGTCTTTGTAAAAAATTTTGATCTCTTAATGGATTTTATCTTTTATATCATCCCCATAACTTATCTGATCTTTAATCATTAGTGTTCAATGCCTCAAATCTATTCTTGTGATTATTTTTAAAATTCAGGAGTGGCATCCACTTCCTAAACAACATGCCTACTCCAGAAACTCTGTGAACTTTGATAAATGTTGCTAGTTGTAGAGGGGCTTCGGGCCTTTTGTTCAGGGCCTCTATGAGTTATGCTTGACTTGAAGGCAATCAACAATAACAACAAAAAGATAGACCCAAGGTATTTTGGGTCTTACAGACTTGTTTTCATTTTCTTCAGTTTCAATTTGAACTTCCATATAAGTAATTAATGGTCTGTGGTACAGTCAGCACCTGACCTGGTTTTGAATACTGAAATTAAGCTTTTTCCAGTGATTATTTCCACAAAAGTAGTCAATCTGATCACTGTGCAGTCCATCAGGTGAGGTTCATGTGCATAGTTGTGATTTGTGTTTCTTATAAAACGTATTCGTGGTGAATAAACCATTGAATGTATAAAAGTCAGTCATCTGACCTGCAGTCTCATTTCTGTCACCAACTCTGTAATTTCCAACTGCCATTCTATCTGCCCTATCTCCAACTTTTGTGTTCCAGTCACCAATTCTTATTAATGCATCTTGATTGTGTGTGTTGTTAGTTTTGGACTGTAAAAGTTTGTTGTTTGATTCAAACTTCCCAATGTTCATTTCACACCAAAGCTAAGGATATCAATCTTTAAGTATCTAATTTAATATTTTTTCATGATTTCCAATTTTCCTGAGTACTTTGTATATTTTATGTTCCTATTTTTAATATTTTCCCCATTTCTTCTCATTTTGAGTTGTGCTATATCAGCGGATAAAGGGCCAGAAAGTTTGACTCCGCAACACACATAATTAATGTTGACTTTCTTCTGAAATCACAAGTGTTGCATTTTGAGTGTCTTCCAGTCTGAGCAGCTAGCTCATCTTCAAGCATCATACCACAGTCAGTTTCCACTATTCATGGACAAGTATTTTTCAGAATTTTATTTTCTTCCTTATTTGTCTTGGTCTGGAAGCACCAATGAAACCTGTCCACTACACCTAACTCTATAGATATTTGAAGTATTGGCGACATAGCTCTACATCATAGTAACATGTAAGCCAACATAGCATGACTAGTAGACAAATGGTGGAAAAGGGATACTGGGTTTTGTCAAATCATTTTCTACTTTGATTGTGATGATTATCTGTGGCTCCCCCCCCTTCTGTAATATAATATAATGTTTGATTTTCTTTTCTTTATCTACACTTGCATTCCTGGAGATAAATCTCATTATTTATGAATTTGTTTTTCTTTTTACCAGAAACCCCAAGTTTTCAGATGAAAATGTTAGTCTTTTGGTTTAATTTCTACTTTGCTCTTTCATCAGTCAAAATTGTATTTTGGGTTTGCAACTTCTAGTTTTGGGAATCCCTATGTCATGAGAACTTCTGGGGATAAAATAAATAGTAGATTAAATTTAAGATGTAATGCTCCCCTGTACATATCAACAGAGGAGCACTGGTGGCTTAGTGGTGAGGAGTTGTGCATCAACCCAAATGCAAGCAATTTGAATTCACCAGCTGCTCCTAGAGAGTAGTAAAATAGGCAATCTCCTCTCACGTGGTTTATCACCTCTGAAAGCTCACTGGAAGAGCAGACATGACTCAGCTATATGTAGCAATAGCAACAACATACATGTAAATATTACTATCAGTATTTCATTGATGGACCCAGAGAATTTGTGGCCTAGTGGCAAGAAGCTTTGCTGTAATCCTGAAAGCATGCAGTTTGGGTCAATCAGCTGCTCTGCAGGAGAAGGATGGGCAATATCCTCCTGTGTGATTACCTACCTCTTAAAACCTTTAAACAGGTTTGAGTTTGTCAGCTATGGGTCGGTTCTGACTCGATGGTACATAACAAAAACAACCCATAATTTTAGATTTATTAAGTATCAAATGGCTGCTTTATTTCAACTTTGTGAAGAATATACTTTCCTTTCTTCCAAATCTGCCTCCAAAAGAGAGGGAAGAATGCAGGGATTGTCAATTCCTCTCTCCAGAATCCTGACTGTGGAAAGAAAGAGAAAGGCAGATGATGGAATGAACAGGAAGCAGGGGAAAGGGAAAACGTGTTCTTTTAGAAATAAAAAGCTCAACCATGTTTTTTAGCCATAAAAGAAAGAGAGAAGATGCAGAAGAAGGGTGAAAGTCCCCAAAGCCAAATGTGTTAAAGCTTTGAAGTGAAGAGATCTAGAAAATAAAACTGATCCTTCATCCCTGTTTCCAACTTTTGCATTCCAGTCACCCATTATTATAAATCTTGATTACATGTTTGTTCAAATTCTAATTGCAAATGTTGGTAGAAATCTTCTCTTTTCTCCCCTTGGGTCTGGTTGCTGGTGTACATGTGAATGATAGTGATAATCACTGAATTTATTTCAAGATGGATCTAGAAATGACTTTTTTAACTTATGAAAGTGATCCCATTTTTCCTCACCTTTTCATCTCTGTCATAGTAGATCATATGATTATCTGATTTAAAATGTCCCATGCCAAGCTATCTCACTTCGCCAATACCTAGTATGTGTTCCATTTCTTTCTTAACAATGTCCAATTTCCTACATTCATGCTTTCTAACATTCCATGTTCCATTCAGTAGTATTTGCTTACAACTCTTCCTCCTCCTTTGTGTTTCCATATTTAAGGGCTCAGTCTCAATTGTTTTATTTACTAATTTACTCTTTTGTACCTAGGATTTTGGAAGACCTGTGATTTTGGAAGTGGATGGCCAATCTTTCTTCCTAGTTTGTCTTAATTTGAATGCTCAGCTTTAGAACAGTATCTGACAGACAAGTGTTTTACAGAAAGGAGCAGATGAAAGACATTTTCCAATTACAGAAGCAACCAACAGATTCAGTGTCACTCCCCCACCCTTGGCACATGTGCCTTGACCAATCCTTTCCCTGCTCCACCAGCATCCCCTTCCATTCCTGCCTACCCATTCAACACCTCTCTTCCCCTATTCAACCCTTGATATGATGGTTTAAGTCTCAAGCCTTCTGTGCTTCTGTGATGCCTAATGCCTCATGCTGCTGCCAGTCTCTTACACTGTTGCTAGTCTTTCTTGTGTTTAGGGTCTCTAAGTCCAAATTCTAGGTACTAGTTTGAGGGAAGGGTTTCTATGTCAGACAGGTCTGAAGAAAAGTCCTTTGTCCTTAGCTTCTACTCCAGGACTGACTTCTTGTGACTTAGTGCCTCTTCTCTTTCATATATGGCACTCTGCTGTCACAGTAGGATAATTTCCCAGGACAGGGTAATCTGTCCTCTAGATCTGGTATACAGTGTCCTATACTAGTTTTATACATAGGCCCTATCTTGCTGGAATGCCCTGAATGTTAGACCTGGAAGGTCTAAGACAGGTTTGGAAGCAGGAGTGTCATCATTTCCTAAACAACATGCCTCTGGAAACTCAGTGAACTTGGAGAAACGATAGTTAAAGAAAGGCCTCAGGTCTTTTGTTCATAGAGTTGCTATGAGTAGTGAGTGACTTGACAGCAATCAGCAACAACAGGTGCTGCCTGATTCTAGAAGATCCTCATTTTTAACCAGCAGATTAACAACTAAAATAGATTTTTTTTCTTTCTCTTATGCTTACCCAAACTCAAACCTAGTTTTCACTGTCTTGACCACATCTCCAAGCAATTGCTGTAATCTGAGGCTAGGGATTTCAATTAGCCATGTCTGGGTCACATTCCTACCCCAATCCTCAGGTTAGAATAACTCTGGGAACTAGAAATGAGACCAATCCAACTCATGATGTGGGATGAAGAATGGAGAAAGAGTAGATCCCAAAGGAAAGTTGACATGCTGTTACTCTAATGATGCAATGGCAGTAGGAGATAAAAAATAACAGATTTTTGTAAAAAGTTGAGAAGCTGGTAGAGCTGATGAAGGGCAAGCTGAGGCCTGGAATGACCTGCCACTTCTTCCTTCGATTGCAGTGTGTGGACACCCCAAGTTCTCCCGGAAACTGATATCCAGGATCTTCAATGGACGCCCAGCCCAGAAGGGCACCACTCCCTGGATTGCCATGCTGGCACACCCACAAGGGCAACCCTTCTGTGGGGGATCTCTTATAGGTAAGGAGGTGGAAAGGATGAGGGGTGGGTATGGATTAGAAGACTAGGTGGATGATAAAGGACAAAACTCTATCCCTGGAGCCTGACCATGATGTCTTCATTGAGAGACTACTCACTCCAGCTTTCATGTGGTAGATAAAAGCTCTTAGCTGGAACCAGGAAACATGTATTCTTATTCTCATCAATACTTTCTGTCGACAAACACCTACCTAATTCTGGTGAGTTTCTGGCCCTGGGGAGGACTAAATCAGAGAGTTACAAATTCAAACATGAATTCTAGCACAAGGTCCTTACAAGTGGTTCAAAGTCAAGGTAGGTCTGAGTTGCGGGACCAGGAAGAACCAGGAAACTTCCCCTGGGCAAATCAGGGAAGGTATATTTCTAAAGACCTTGAGTGTTGTGCCTAGGAATTTCTATTTTATTCTGAATGCTAGTGCAGGTTTATACACATTTTCTAGAAAGTTCTTTCTAGAGGTAATATAGTTATAGAAGAAGGTGAATGTTCAGCCAAGAAATAAGTGGGAGTTCAGTGAAGAAATAAGTTCTCACTTATGCAGTACACTTTCTGTCAGAGCATGTACAGGTCCATGTCAGGGATCCCCCTGTGGAGACTCAGAGCTGGGCTAGGGCTGCAAGTGAGTCATCCATAAATACGTGAAGCAGCAATCAGACAGAAGCCCTCCTTTGAAAGGGATTGATCCTTGTATTTCCACCAAACACAGTGAAGAACCTTCTTACTCTATGGAGAGTGAATGAAAGTATTAAAGGGAGAGAATTATGATGAGATGGGACAGATGACAGTCCAGAGCAGGGCAGTGAAGAGCGGAAGACCAAGAGAGAAGGAAGATAAACAGAGAAAAATTACAGAATTAGAAAAAAGGGAAAAAAAGAGAGAGAGAAAGAGAGAACAGAGAAATAAGAAATCCCGGGGGAGGGGGGATAGGGTATACTAAAGATATGGGCACTCTCCTCCCATGAGATTAAATGCCTCTGAAAACCTGCTAGAGGGTCAGCTATGGGTCTGTTCTGACTCAACAGTACACAACAACAACAAACAGAAGAAAAAACAAGCAGAAGAAGAAAGACTGGTAGGGCAAGAAAGGTGTAAAATAGAGGAGAAACTAAAAAGATAGAAAGGGAAGGGAGGATGTAGAATGAAAAGAAAGGAAAAGCACAAAAAATATAGGATGAGGAAGAAGAGACACAGTGAAAAGCAACTAAAGACCCTGCTTTATCAGACATTTTGGATTTTGTTAGAAAGCCAGTAAAATCTACAGCTTAAAGAATAAGTGTTTTTAAAAAGTAATAAAATTCATTTTCTTTAGCCTTGACCTTTAATGTTTCATCATGTCAACACTCATTTGCATTTGTTGCATTTTTATCCCCTCTTCTGGTTTAAAAGATGTTTAAAATCTGCTTTCAGCTCAGCTAAAAGTCCCAACACATTTCACCTTCCCTACAGTTCTAATTTATAATCTCTCACCTCCTCCTTTTCTTCAGTCTTGTAGAGGAAGGAAAGGGGAAGAGGAACAAGGAGAGGAGCTGAGGAGACAAAGCCCCATTTCAATGGCCACACTCTAAGGCCTGCATAGAAGGACACTAGCTCAAAGATTCCATAATAGCAGAGCCGGGAGGATACACTGCATTCCTGGACTTCGTAGAACATACACCTGAGCTCATCTAAACAGTCATTCTCTGAGGCAACCCATCCTAGCCTGGGTACCTCAGGCCACCTAAAAAATCTTGGCCGACAAGGATTAAGAATGTCTCAAAGGGAAAACAAAGATAGCTTTGGCAGAGGATACCAGGAACTTGCAGCCAAAGGGTATAGCTGCTTCTTTGAGGGCCAAATGACACCTGGAACCCCTGCTATAAAAAAGGTAATTTTGCTCTGGATTCTGAGCTCTGACAGGATGCCCCACTACAAGTCTCTAGTGCCTTTCTTCCTGTTTGCTACATCCTGGTTATACATCTAGGCTCAGTTACCTCATCACTTATCATCCCCTCCAACCAAATAATTAACTGAAGACTAAGCCCGTATTAAATCAAAGGCAAGATTAGGAGATAGACTGGTCCATCCAAAACAATGCAGCTGAGGTACAAAAAAATCAGTAGGCAGTCTTCCTGGAAAGCCAGGATCTGGCCTTGAACTTGCTACTAACCTGCTGGGTTACTCATCCTTGCTTTCCTGCTGGCCTCAAGGTTCACATCTACAAAATGAAAGGTGGAGCAAAGTGGCAATTCTCAGCCCTGCAGCATTAGAATCATGTGGGGAACTTTCAAAGCTTTTAAGGCTTCTCATAGTCTGTAGGGTTGTGTGCTGCTAACTCAAGGCTGTGCCTCTCTAGTGGTTCAAATCCAATGGAGAGAGAGGCAATCTACTCCCACAAGACTTATAGCTTCAGAAAACCCACTAAATGGTCCTCTATGATTCAATTCTGAACGACCAGCAATAAGTTTGAGTTTATAGGATGTTGAGTTGCTAGCCAAAACCCGGTGTGTCTGGTGGTTCAAATCCACCAGTTCCTCCCTGAAAGAAAGATGGAAAAGCCTTCTATTGTGATTTTGTTGTTGTTGTTTTTAAGTGCCGTAGAGTCATAGACGATTCATAGTGACCCTATGAACAAAAGTCCTCAACACTTGAGTGACTTTCATCCTTTCTCCAGGTTCATAGGGTTTCTGGAGGCAAGCTCTTTGAGGAAGTGGATGCCGCTCCTGCTTCCAAGCTTGTTTTAATCAGGGAGCTCCACCAAACATTGTCCACCACGGGTAACCATTAACACATTTGACACACCAATGTCACGGTGTTCAGCTCCACAGCAATCACAAGTTACCTCTGTAAAGCAAGTGGACACACCAGGGCTATACAACCTAGAAGAATATTTGTCCAAACACAATTAAAAACAGGTATGAGGGCTGCGGATTAGAATCACCCACCTTTGGCTTGGTAGCATCACTTTCCATCCACTAGGTCAACTGGTCTCTATGTTGTTAAGTGCTGTCTAATCATAGACGATTCATAGTGACCCTATGAATGAAAGTCCTCAACACTTGTGTGACTTTCATCCTTCCTCCAGGTTCGTAGGGTTTCCAGAGGCAAGCTATTTATGGAAGTGGATGCCACTCCTGCTTCCAAGCTTGTTTTAATCCAGGAGCTCCACCAAACACTGTCAGGCTCTAAGGTATTTTTGCATTCCGGAACACACAAACACTGGCAAACTCTGGGCCAGAGACCCCTAATTTATCTAGCAAGTCTGCTCTGTGGGCACCCGCTTGGGGCAAAAGAAAAAAGCCAAAAGCGCCCCAGCGTTCCCTACTTGCCATTCTTCAAGACCCAAGAGGCCACATCCATCCAGCTCACACTGAGTTCACGAGACACTTGCCATTATTCTGCATGTGTGGCCAGAAAAAAAACAGCCTCAAAAACACAGTGGAGGATTGCTATTAGTCAGATCTAACTCAAAGGCAATAAGAATATAAGCAGAAAGAAGGAAGGAGGAAGTTCTGTGGCAGAAAAGCTGATAAAGTGCCTGAGTTTTAATACTCATGGCTTAAATGGTGCAATACACTATTTTTTTTTTTCAACTCCTCAGATGATCCTAATGTGTAACCAGCACTGAGAAGCATTGTGCTAGAGCTTCTCAAATCTTAAAGTGTGTAGGAAGCACTTGAGGCTCTTGTTAAAATGCAGATCCTGGTCAGGAAATTCTACCTAGAACTGGAAGGCTCAGCAAAACCCAAGAGTTCAAGTGACCCTTGAAAACTTTTTCCTCCTTGCCCTGCATTAGAACAGACAAAAGAAATCACATTCCACCTCCTCATCTTTAGAATAGAAACCTGTATGATTTTGTCGGGGAAGTAGGGAGAAACAATGTGGGATAACGTGTTTGTGTATGTGTGACATGTGTTTTTTTCCCCAGGTATGAACTGGGTTGTGACTGCAGCTCACTGCCTCCACCAGTCACTTGATCCAGATGACCCACTCCTAAAAGACTCAGACTTGATCAGACCTTCTGACTTCAAAATCATCTTGGGTGAGTGAAGGAAAAACTGATTTCTGAAGACAGAATGCTGTTCCAAGGAATGAGGTGTCATTATTGTCTTCCTCTAAGGCAAATCTCCTCACTCACTTAATCTCTCAGTCACACAATATCAGCAGGACGCTGGATAAAAAGGAGCCGTGTGTGTGTGTGTAGGGGGGGGATCCAAGATGGTGGTGGTGGAGAAAACAGTGTAAGGAGATGAAGGTGTAGCAAGCTGCATGTTGTTGTTGTTGTTCTATGTCGTCAAGTCACTTGTGACTCATAGCAACCGTATGTACAACAGCCCCAAACTCTGCTCTGTCCTGTGCCAATTGCACTGTCTCTGACACACCCATCCTGATTATCCCAGTCACTGAATCAATCCACCTCATAGAGGGCCTTCCCCTCCTGTGCTGTCCCTCCACCCTACCAAGCATGATGTCCTTCTCCAAGGACTGGTCTCTCCTTACAATATGTCCAAAGTATGTTAGACGGAGCCTCAGAATCCTTGCCTCCAAGGAGCCATCTGGTTTAACCCTTTCCAGGACTAATCTGTTTGTTTTCCTAGCAGTCCACGGTACCCTCAATACTCTTTTCCAGCGTCATAACTCAAAGGCATCAATTCTCCTTCTATCCTCCTTAGTCATTGTCCCACTCTCTAATACATAAAAAGTGATAGCAAAGACCATGGCCTGTATCAGACGCACCTTAGTCTCCAGAGAGACACCATTGTTCTTCAGTACTTTGGAGAGGTCCCTAACAGCAGACTTTCCCATCGCAATATATCTTTTAATTTCCTGGCTACTGGTGCCAAGAGTGTTGACTGTGGAGCCAAGCAAACTAAAGCTGTGTACAATCTCAATCTCTTCACCATCCGTCCTGATGCTGCCAATTGGTCCAGTGGCAAGAATCTTTGTCTTCTTGACATTGAGCCTCAATTCATATTGAAGGCTGCAGTCCTTGACCCTCTGCAGCAAGCGCTTCAGGTCCTCCTCAGTTTCAGCTAGCAGGGTTGTACCATCTGCATAATGCAGATTGTTGATAGGTCTTCCTGACGCTACACTTCTCCTCATAGAGCCCAGCCTCCCGGATAATCTGTTCCGCATACAGGGTGAAAAGGTATGGAGAGAGGACACATCCCTGGTGTACGTCCTTCCCAATTTTGAACCATGCAGTGTTTCCTTGCTCTGTTCTGATGACTGCCTCCTGGTCCAAGTATAGGTTTCTCATTAGTACAATCAAGTGTTTTGATATTTCCATTCTTCTGAGTCAGCCACAGTCTGTTATGATCCACACAGTCAAATGCCTTTGCATAGTCAATGAAACACAGATATACATTCCTCAGGTATTCCCTGCTTTCAGCTAAGATCCATCTAACATTAGCTACACTATCCCTAGTACCATGACCCCTTTTAAACCCAGCTTGGACTTCTGGCAGTTCTCTGCTGATGTGCTGTTCCAGTCGTTTTTGGATAATCTTCAGTAGAATCTTTATTGCATGTGAAATCAATGATATTGTTCTATTTCACATGCAAGCAAGCTGTATAGAAACGGGAAGCCAGAGAGACTGACTTGGTGCACTGAGACCAAGGCAGCATGACATGGAGAGTAGGAATTTGAATCAGAATTTTTATTAAAATAATTAGTTTGGGAGCCACAGGAGCAGTGAGCCACAGGCCCTGGTGGAAGCTGCCAACCGAGCTGCTGTGGGACCCGCCCACCAGGAGCAAGCATGTTGATAGGAATTTGACTGAGTTTTCTTGGGCCCCACTGACCCACCAGGGCATGCCAGGAGTGAGTGCATAGGTGGGAATTTAACTGAGTATTTTTAAGCCCTGCCAACCCACCAGGACCTGCCAGGAACGAGCAGGCAAGCAGAAATTTGACTGAGTTTCTTGGGGCCCCACCGACCTGCCAGGAGTGAATGGGTCAGTGTGAATTTGATAGAGTTTGCTTACCCCACTGCACCCAGGACCCTGCTGGGGTGGGGGGCCACTGTGCAAGGACACCTGAGTAAGGGCCACTGGGCAAGGACTGCTGAGTGAGAGCTGCTGGGTGGGAGACAGACAGCTGGAATTTGAGTAGGGACACCACTCATGAGCACACCTGGACAGCTGAAATCTGAGTATGGTACCCACAAGTGGCTGACCCACCCCATAGTCACCTTGCCCACCCCCCACTTACCCCTCCCAACATTCAGCTCCACACCCATGCCTGCACATCCAGTCAATCAATGTGGAGCACTTTGATCTGACTTAGCTACAAAAGGCTACTATCACAGGCCCTGAGGTAAAATTTCCCTTGAGTCGGAAATTCAGAGAGAAACACAGGTAGGGTAGCTGTCCCACCAATTTCTAAAGCATTGTCTTCATATTAAAAACCTATCAATGTTGTGAAAGAAGTAGGCTATCCCACACATTATACAAGTGACACTGTATCAATGGAGTTCCTGAAGCCAGAAAGACTGATGGAATTTTATGACACGGAATTTAAAACACAATGATTGAATATTTTCAACGGGTGAAACACAAACTTGAAGAATTACAGGACATGGCAAGCAAAAAGCAGGAGGAGCTTAAGAACACACACACACACACACACACACACACACACACACACAATCCAGAACAATGCAGATAAATCAAACAAAGCATTAGGGGCACTGGAAAAACAAGAAACCATGATCCAAAATATGAAGTCCAATATTTCAGATGCTGTCAACATGATGGAGGGACACATGAGCAGAGCTGAAGAGATGAACCAGTGAAATAGAAGATAGAATTGTCACCACAGATCAGCTAGAGCAAAAAGTAGAATCAAAAAGGAAGGGGAAAGAAGAAAACCTAAAAATAATGTGGAA